CACAGAGGTCATGCCCGTGTTCTAAACTCAAAACGCAGAGGTCGTGACCGCATTTGAGATTCAAAACGCAGAGGTCGTGGCTGCATTCCATATTCAAAATGCAGAGGTTGTGGCTGCATTCCAAACTCGAAACGCAGAGGTTGTGGCTACATTCCAGAGCCAAAACACAGAGTTCGTGGACTCAAAACGTATAGTTCATGCAGAGCCCAACCCTGCGTCCCAGGTCCAAAACGCAGACTTCATGTAGAGGCTAACTCTGCGTTTCAGAGTTCATAACGCTGCATGTGACCTATGTGTTTTCAGCCTAAAATAGGCCCAACTCTGCGTTTGATGTCTAAAACGTAGAGTTCGGGCCCAGAACGCTATTTTCGACGTTTGACTCGTTCAAACATGAACTGAACAGTTCCAGAAACCGTTTTTTCCCTCACGATTTGAGAGATTTTAGCCCCACTTAGGAGAGGATTAAGGGGGCAGTTACCATCATTAATCTCCTATAAATACCAGAAACTCAATTGAGTTAAGGGAACACCTTTTTGCATAAAAAACAGATCGCAAAAGGAGAGATCGGCAACCTCTTGAGCAGATCATCTTTGGATCTTGGAGATTTCTCGGATCTGGCAATCTCTGGAGCATTCATTGGAGCTTTTATCCTTGGCTTATTAACCGATTTTCGGTTCAAATCAACTCTGCTACAGAGTTTAAACTCGCACTGAGTTCTAAAACTCGTTAAGAGTTATTTTCAAACTTGCCATGCAAGTCATCCTTAATATCAATCAAGAGGAATCAACCATGTTCTAGTAAAACAAGACGTTCGGATCGTCAACAGAAAGCAAACTCGATGCGAGCATTTGAGTGAAGCATTCCATCGCTACCGTGAAGAACCCAGAATTAAACAAAGGGGAGAATCCAGATTATTCTCTTCTCTTTTATAATTAAAAATCTAAATTGTAATTGAGATTGAGAGAATACGAATCGAATATATTTCTTTTAATTTTTCTTTTTACTACAAACTTTCCACCAAACAAACAAAAGAGAAGAATATCAAATAGGTTTCACAAAAGAACTCTCTCTTCTTGATTGGTGCTGTGAAGATTGATGCTGATTTATTGGTTTGAAAGACTATTATTATATGGCTTTGAAGATCCCAGCTCCTTGTTGTCTAAGAAATAAGAGTTCTAGTAGGAATAAAAATCCACATGTCCTAAAACCAACAAGAATCTAAGTAAAAATAAACCTCTTATATGATTGGTTGTGCAAAGTCTAATGTAAGTAGGACTCTTGATCAAAACAAACCAATCTAAAAATAAAATCCCAAAGTAATATGGATTTGAGTATTTGAGGCAACCTATAACAATAATTTAAAATTTAAAATTAGAGATATTAGAACGATGGGGAGTGAAGGTGGACTAAACATTTCACGAAGAAGTACTCTTGTTTATTTATTTAGGTGTTTTAAATTCATTGAGCTTAGCAATCAATTTCAATTATGAAGAGTTGCTATAGGGATATTATCATATATAAATCACTTATCAATTTTTTACTTGATGTTATAATTAAATGAAACTCGTAAGTATTAAAATCAATTAATTACAACAAGGTTTAAACAATCGTTATTTTTGCATCTAAATTTACTTCTATGGAAGACTTAATCCACGCTTAAACAAATTTTAAGTTCGTTTAAGAATTAACAAACTTGCCATAAATAACCGGAGACGTTTCATTTAATAATTAAAACTAGCTAGACCTTAGACGGAGTGCTACATATACCAATGGCTATAACTTGCTAGGTAGAAGTTAATAACTCCTTAGAAAATTAAATTAAAATAATCTCATGAAAGAGGCTAATTAATAGCGAAGTTTGTGTAACTCATAAACTAAAGAAATGGTTAATTCTAGTACCATAACAGAAGTAGAAAATATGGGGTTTGCACGAAAATTACTAATATATAGAAAATTTAACCAATTGTAACTCTCTTCTAACTTATTTTAGATAATTTCTGCTTCCCGGTGTCAAAATTATTTAGAGGGTTTTTAAAGGGACTTATTTTTAGAAGTTTTTAAGCTATGTTAGCTTGGTATTTTGTTTTTATGATAAAAATTGTTTGGATGGAATGATAATTTGATGGTCAAATCTAGCTTATTTAGTTAAGCTTCTAAGCTATTTTTTCAAAAGCTGAGATATACCAAATTTTTAATTAGGCTTTATAATCTAGCTTATTTAGTATTTTACGAAGCAAATAGATATGAAAAAAGTTTGCACATATTTGTAAGCATGTGTTAGAAGTGGAGAAAAGGTAATTGATTTACCTCCCTAGAATATTGTTAATTTTGGGGGTGGATACCAACCTCCGACGGCGTAGGAGCTCCGACGAGCTCCAGGATGGCGCAGGCGAACTTCGGTGGTCGCAGGCGAGCTCGAGCCCCGCGTGCGAGTGCCTCCCCCGAGCTCTGCGTTTGAGCCTCCCCCGAGCTCTGCGTTCGAACCTTCCCCTCCTTTTAACTCTGCGTTCAAACCCTTTGTTGACCTCGGCGTTTCTTGGGGATTCGACCTCTGCGTCGGCTCGAACTTGGCGTCCAAGCGGCCGCTGGCGACAGGCTGTCGCCAGCCCATCGAGTTTCCCCTATAAAAACCCCCCATCGCCTAGGGTTTCGAATGCTGCTGCAGTGCCTCTCCCCCTCTCCTCCGACTTTCTTCTCTGGCGGCGGACTGCCCTAAAATCGCTGCTGCGATTTTGATTTATCTCCAGCGCTTAGGATTTGAGAATCTTAAGGGGAGATTAAGAAAAGAGATTTAAGAAGAGAGAGAGAGAGAGAATTAAAGAGGGGTTTATATTGTGGGGGTATTTATTCTCAAGTGAGAATTGAAAGGGTTCATACCCTTTAATTATTAACACTGTAGCTACAGTGTTCATTTGAGAGATCTCATTTTTGATCTGCTCTTAATCTGTAATTTCTTGTTTGATTAATAAGAAATTATCTGTGTGGCTCCCGAGGACGTAGGCAGTTGCCGAACCTCGTTAAAACTTGATGTACTTTTTCTATTCTGCGTTTCTGTTTCATTAGGAATTTCGGCGTTAAATTCCCAACAAATATTTCTTCATTTACTATGTTTTGATTATATGCCACTAAAAGTGGAGCATATGCAATGCGGTTGAGATTGTTTTCAAGTACTCAATGCAAATGTTTCAAGTTCTTAGTGCAAATGACAAGGAGCATATTTGTCTTAGGCCAATATTAGACACCGTCAGTATTTACTCGATTCACTAATGCTAACAGCCAGTCCAGCTCATGCTCAAGGTTTTTAATAAAAGAAAATCCTGATTCATGAATCAAATCACGATATAATTTTCAAAACTCTAAATTTAGAAATATCTCAGTCTTCTCCCGTTCCTGTTTTCTTTTTCTTTTTCTTTTACAGTAACAAGCATTAATGACTTGATGAAAGTAGAAAGAATGATGCAGTGGTTTTGGGACGCAATTGAAGAGAAGCGGTCTAGAATTCAAACATAAACAAACAAACCCCAAGGTTGACCTATTCCTCGAGCTCAGTCTTAAAATTAACTAGCTCTATTTGGTTTGCTGCAAGTATAATAATCACAATGCAAGTACCATTTGTTTGTTACATTATATTTACAATTGTTTGCTACATTATATTTGTAATTGTTTTGCTTCAATTTTTATAACTTGGTGATTTATATTTGAAAGGAGCATTCATAGGCTTTCGTCTTGTATGTAAATTCCTTTTAATTAGATTTTTATCAAATTAAGGTCCACCGTAATCAGAGTTGCAACTTAAACCTATTTACAACTCAAAACGGTTGCAAAAACTGACCCAGTTAGGCTGAAACTGGGTCGGTTTTTTAAAAAACTTTACGAGACTTCAACTCCCGTGAAGTTTGAGAATTTTTTTTTTAAAAACCGACCCAGTTTCAACCAACTGGGTCGGTTTTTAAAATTAAGTTTGAAAAGATTTTTTTTTTTTAGATTAAGATTCAAAACAAATTGGTTTTGAAAATTTGTCACTGAATCACACATGCCCATGTTTTCCTCCTTCCTGTTTTAGATAAACTACGGTCAAAGATTAATGGTAATGATGAAATTAATTGTCTGTCATCCATTGAAATAAACAACAAGAGAAAAAAAAACAGAGTGACCGGCTTTAATGAGAGATTGAGGAGAAAACCAAAACAACCCAACAGTTTCGTCGCTGTCTTAAAAAAAAACAAATTTTCACTGTAGACCCAAATGGAATTTTAATTACCAAAATCGACCGATTTTTTTTTAATTACCAAAATCAACCCGTTTTATGCCACGTAGGCGTAATCCAGTTTCCTAATTAGTCGGGGTTGCCAACCCCGACTGTTTAGAAGTTGTTAAACCGGGTTTTAAGGCTTCTAATCGGGGTTTAACAACTCCTAAACAGTCGGGGTAGGCAACCCCGACTAAACTGGATTAAGCCTACGTGGCATAAAACGGGTCGATTTTGGTAATTAAAAAAAATCGGTCGATTTTGGTAATTAAAATTCCGTTTGGGTCTACGTGAAAATTTGTTAAAAAAAAATTACAGTCGAGCCAAGAGTCGGTGGTATATTATCAAGACTTTACAGTCACTGCAACAAATAAACAATGAAATAAAGAGTTTTTATTTACTAGCCCCATGCGTTGTAAAAGTTCTTTTATAAACCCATCCACTTCCGAAACCATTTTGGAAGCCAGATTTTACTTGCTCCATTAATGTCTATTAAATTGCTAAATTTTGTGTATATATAAGCAGAATATATTTAGAACCGATCGAGTTGTTGTATTTTCTATATCGGTGGCTTTATTTGAGCGTATGTAAAAGGCAACAGTTGGGTTTAAAAAATAATTTAGTAGAGATTTAGGACTCACGAACTATTTTAGAAGTGAACGGGTTCCGAAATAGAATAACGTAATCTTAGGGGCCATAAATAAATAAAAACAACCTTGACAGGAAATGAAAAGGAAAACAGAAAGCAAGAGAGAGAAAGCGAGAGGTGAGAGAGAGAGGAGCTTAAAAGGCAAAACAAACCCAACAAAAGACGAAGGGAGCAGAAAAACCCAAAGAAAGCAACACGCGGCGAAGCGAACGGTTCACGAATTCGTACAAAACTACAAGAAACCTCTTCATCTTCTTCCTCCTCTCTCCCCCCAGCCCGTTTCATATTTTTCCTAAAATCCCATGAAAAAGAGCTCTTTTGTGCATTCAGAAGCTTTCTAAATTTAGATAGAGAGTGAGGAGAACAGATAGAGAATCAAATCTTATAGTCACTTGCCTAATTAATGCTGAGCATGGGCTGACTCTTCATTGAGAGAGGATATTGTGCATATTTTACCATTCATCTCCTCCGAAAGTGGTATATATAGAGAGGGGGGAAAGGAGTGAGATTGAGAGAGAAATAGAGAGACCCATTTAGCCTCTTTCTTCATATCCTCAACTTCTCTTGTGGGTTTTTATTGGTTTTGTGGGTTTTTAGAAAGATGGGTTCTAAAGATTGGAGAAAGCACTCTAATATCCAGTGTTTCCTTGATGCTACTGCTCCATTTGTGGCTTCACAAGCTCAATCAAAGGTAATCTCAAATACCCAATTCATGATTTCTTCGGAAGAAGATCAAATTTTGTTAATGGTTTGTTTTGGTAGAAAAAAGCGATTTTTTCTAGTTGACTTTCTATTGAAGTCAATTTTATGTGCTTATAGCGCCTTTTTGATTAATTTACGCTGTTGCTTTTCCCTTTTTGTCTGTTATTTTTCTATATTTTTATGCCTAAGGGGGGTAGATTAATTTGAATGAATTTTTTTTTCAATTGCTAATCCCTTTTTGGGTAAAGAATCTTATTTTGCCTGTGAGAGCTCCACCCTTTGTGGGGATTTTTATAAAGAAGCCCGGTGTTTCCTATCATGGAAGATTTTTCTCTATTCCTGATATAGTTGTTTTATAATAGGTTTTTTGATTTGGATAAAATTAGATTTTGATAAAACATACTAGTTCAATTTCATCTTCTCATTTACTCAATATTTTCCTCCCTTTTTCTATAGGAGAAATGGTCAATGATCTTCGCTTCAATTCAAGTCTTCGTTTTTGCCTTATCAAGGATTGCTAATGTAAATGATCTTGTAATGCAATACTTCTCCCATTTTTAAAAACTGAGATATATTTGTTTCTGGATACAGACATCAAGAAGGGATTCTAACGGCCGTTGGCAACTAATTGACAAAGACACAATTGAATGCTTCACTCTGGGAGATCTTTGGGATCAATACTATGAATGGAGTGCTTACGGTCTTGGTGTTCCGATTCATCTACCCACTGGAGAAAATGTAGTTCAATATTATGTTCCTCATCTATCAGCAATCCAAATTTACACTACTAAGCCTCCTCTATCGAGGTTTGTTTCCCAACCCTCACAAGTGAAAATTTCCAATTTCACAATTTGGTATAGTGATAGAGTTTGTTACCAAGTCTTAAAGCCCCTGTTGTTGCCCATTTGTGGGTTGCATTACGGACTTATTTTATGCATTGGTGATTTTATTTATTTATTTTTATTTGGTTGAAATCAGCTTTGAATTCATGTATGGTAGGATTTGACTCTAGGTTGCTCTTTTACACCAATTTGGATGGGGTGGTAGGTAGGGGAAGGGAGGCTAATAATTAATCTTGTTTGGTGTTTCTTCTTCTTCTTCGTACTTCTTCTTCTTCTTCTTCTTCTTCTTCTTCTTCTTCTTTTCTTTTTTCTTTTTCTTTTTTGTGTTTGGGTAATGGAGGGGAGGGGATGTTCTTCGAGGTGGAAAATTCACCTTCATTCGTTTGATTTCGTTCCCCTCGAAATTGATGGTTAATGGAGGGGAAGGGAATTGATGGTAAAAAATTGTTAAATAGGAACAAATTTTCCCTCCTATCATGATCTAGCCAATGACTGAGATTTGAATTCACATAAATTTCCCTCCCTTTATTTAGTCTTTTTTTATAAAGCTTCCCTTCCCTTTTAACTCCCAAACGGGGTGAATAAGTTCCCTTCCATGTTCCTTCCTGAACTCCCAAACAAGATGTTATATTTTTCCCTTTCCTTCCCCTTCATTTGTGGACTCCCAAACGAAGTGTCTTAAGTCTCTTCCACTCCACCAGAACGTCGTACTTGTGGCTGGGGTTGAGGGCTGCCATGTTATATTCTGGCACTTAGATTAATGTTGATAAACTGGTTCAGGAATGTGGTAGAAGATAGTGAGAGTGATTCTTGGAGTGATGATAGTGAGAGCGAGCGGCTCTCAAAGTCGTGGGATGCTGCTTCAGATGACTCTGGCTTTGAACCAGATGGTCTATGTCCGGCAAAGGATCGAATTGGGCAATTGTATCTGCAATATGTTGAGTATTGTCCTCCTTATGCTAGAGTACCTCTTACGGAGAAGGTATAAACTCTGATGTGTTTGTTTATTTCAACTAGGCTATGAGGGTTTATAATTTTTTTTTTTAAATTATCAAATAGCTCTAAATTTACTTCCTTCCTCAATTTCCTTGCTTCTTAGGTAACTGAGTTGGCTCAAAGCTACCCAGGTTTGACATCTTTCAAGAGTGTGGAACTTTCTCCTGCGAGTTGGATGTCAATTTCATGGTATGCCAATCCTTCTGATTATTTAAAATTTAATTTTAAAAAAATTAAGGACTTTGTTATCGATGATAATGATTTAATTTCCAATTACCCTGAAACTTATTGAATGCTATATTATGTTACAAAAATTCTTTTGATGTCTTGTGATTTTTGAATAATTTGTACAAGGTTTTATGACTGTGTCAATGAGATGTCTTTCATATACTAGTTTCTTGTTACCTTTTTAAGGATGTTTATCACTCTTTTTTTTTTTTTAATGTCAGGTACCCTATTTACCATATTCCGGCTCGTAAAAATGTGAAGGACTTGTCTTCTTGTTTTCTGACTTATCATACTATCTCAACATCCTTTCAAGGTATGTTTTATATAGAATGTGACAAACAACTTATTTTTACTCAAATGTTATGTGCAAAATAAATTTTAGAATCATAGATTGATCCACCATTAGAAATTGATTTTTCCTTGATCATATGTATGACATTGTTATCAGTAATCACTATTCATGTGTCTGTCCTCTGTTAGATGAAGCATCCGAAAGGAACAGAGTCTACATCTTTTCTCAGAGCATTGATCAATTGGGACGATCATCCTTAGTGCTTAATGGAATTTACGATATTTTTCAATTGATCCTCTCTTGTGACTTGTGAAATATTCATTGTTATATGAGGTGCAAGTTCACATGCGTGATGATGATGTGCTTCAGTCAAATGTAGTTTAGAATTTAGATCACTTTCAATGTAAGATGCTTATGTTTCTTAGGTCCTTTGATTCATGTTTACACATTTATTTAAGAAAAATTACTTTTTGTGATGTCTTTGTGTAAAGTTTGAAGCAAACAGACAATAGTCTTAAAATGCTTAGGTGTCAACATATCCCCATTCAAGTATATGCTGACTCATATCCTTAGGCTGAAATTGATACGGCATAGCACACATTTCTTGGTTGTGCAAAGACATCTAAGAGCTTATTGTTCATAGTTGTATATCCACTTAGTATCTGCTAATGCTTTGTCCTATGTCTTCAAATTCAAAAGTTGTTTCTAAGCATGATCTTCGAAGTTGAGGGATGCAACTGAAGAGAGTAATTTCACAAGGGTACAAAATTTTGATCCGTGGTTTTTTGTCTTTAATTTGCTTCGATGACTTGGTTACCATCCATGTCTTAGCCTATGATTTTATATATTTCAATTAGGCAATTTTTGATTTTAGCCCCTGGAATCAAGAGCATATTCTGTTTCACTTGCCATTAAAGCAATATATGCGACTTAAAGTGGTCGCTATAAAATGTGGTTTTTAAAGTGGTCGCTATAAAATGTGGTTTTCTTATGGATGTATGCACTGAAACATACATCACAGCTTATATAAGAAGTTCTGATGTGTTGCATGGTTATTCACAATTCAGGATACTGTCACTTCTGAATTTACTCCAGAATCGTACATTTTTTAACCTATGAATTTTATCATCTGGATCCAAGTACAGAAGTCCACAAAATATGTATCAGCCCTGAACTAATCGTAGGACGTTGTGTTTTACTTCTTCTATGATCGCCTATGCATATAGTGTTGCACATTATTTGACAGTCTCATTTCCCTAGTATCTTTTCCTCGTAATTTAAGTAATCCTTGTTCTCTTAATATTTATCCCCTTATCATGACAATCTTGTAGACCAAATGCCTAGCGACTCCGAGAAAGACACATTGAGTCCTACATTCGAAGAAAGTGCAAAAAGGTGTGAAGACAACATTTATTGTGTCTCTCTTCCTTCTTTTGCCCTGGCCACTTACAAAATGCAACGCACCTTTTGGGCGAATCCTTTAATGGGAGATAACGAAAGGCTTGTCAGTCTCTACACAGCTGCAAAATCTTGGCTGAAGCAACTCGGAGTTCACCACCATGACTTCAACTTCTTCAGCACTCATTCCTCCATGTGAATATCGAACCCTAACCCTAAAAGCTTTTAGAGAGTAAGAAGAGATTTGGTGAAGATCATCGGTTGGTTTTCTTAGAGAAGAACTGGATTTCAATTTTATTAACTTTTTTGGGTCCTTTTCGAGAGGTTATGATCTTTTGCATTTGTTATGTTTTTGCTTTTATGTAGAGTTCTCTAACTATAAACTGAACTTTTCTTTTAATTGTCGAGTCTATAAATACACTGTTGAATTGACTAGTACCTTAAGTTGGAGAATGCAAAATATGTTGCTGTTTTGTTTTAGCAGGAAAACTATTTTCCTAGTTCATGTTCTCTGTATGTTGTGGTGCATCAAATGGAGAAGAATCCTGAACCTGTGTAAGTGCAGTGGTATTGTTTGCTTTCTTTAGAATTTGCAGCGAAATAAAGAGTAGGAAATGGAGTTTCTAGTGGTTGGGATCTAATCCAATATCATATGTTGCATTCATGTTTTTTGGATGGGACCATGGATAAATTCCCAGCTGGTCTTGGTTTTGATTAAACTTGCAACTAGCATTAGAGCAAGGGGTTGCATGTGCTAATAAAGCTGAGAAAGTATAGATGAATGATGGTGATTCTTCATGGTGGTCCACTATTTATGAGGTGTGGTCTGGGAAGTAGGGTTGCACAAAAACATCTATATCTAGGAAATCTATAATCAATAGGACATGATTATGTAGTGGAATATTTGTGTCCGTATAATATATATATATATATATATATTGGTCATATTGTTTTAATGGTTTTAATCCTTGGATTAATGGATTTGAAGTTACTTTTTATGATCAAGATATTTGATCTTATCTTTTCAAATACAATAAACATATTAATGAACTCTATTGTATTATATAAACTGTATTTATATTTTAAATATTATCTAGTTTTCTCATATCAATTTTGTGTCCGAATGTATATCTGCTTATATATCCACATGCATATTCGTATCTGTATTCGATTTTAGCAAATATGGATATGATTTTTTTTGTCGAGGCATGTATGTGTCCATGATTGGTAAGTGAATATGGATATCGTAAGTATCATATCTAAGCCTTATCCGAACCGAATGCATTTGCTAAATGATAATGGATGCGGATATGATTCAATAAGCAAAATGCGTAAGTTTATATTCACAAAATTTGAATATGGATACAGATCATACTCCCTTTAAAAGTGGGAGCTCAGAAAAAACTTTCCCTAGACCAAAATATTCTCCAAGTATTTTGGTTATTACATTATTATCTTATTGTAATTAATATGTTTAATAAGAATAATTGATATGAAATTTGTGCTATTTACAGGAGATTGAATTATTAAATAAACAATCCTAAACTAATAGTATCCACAACAATCCTAAACTAATAGTATCCACAACAATCCTAAACTAATATTATCCACGTCAGACCTTTTATTCATAGTTTCTTTTTTTAAAGTATAGTCCTTAGTTAAAATTTGTTGGTTATTATTATGAGATAGACACCCAATAAGTGGGTGGGTATTATCTTATCTTAGAGATAAGATATTCATAATCCTAATAAGTGTAGCATTATATCTCTAAGCCCTTTATATAGATATAAGGTTTTCATGATGGGAATAAGAGAGAGAAGATTATAAACCTTCACAAAGTCATCATCTCCTTCTCCGATCAAATTCGTATTTTATACGGTAGTCGCAGGGTGATATACGAGGGCTTCTCGTCGGTTGCACGGTGTGTTTGCCCTCCGGCCATTGATCAAGAAAGGTGTGACTATCCTACATAAAAGATCCGAATCGGTAACCCTAAACTTGTTGTTTATAACCCTAGAAAGTATGCTAGAGTTTTTTTTATTTCCGATGTGCATAATCTAGATGTAGATTTACCATATTACATGCGTGTAGCCATCCAAATCCTACATTGGTATCAGAGCTGGATCTGAGACCGTTCCTCAGTTTCTTGATGGTGATTTTGGTCCCTGGACTAGAAAAGATGAGACTTTTATTGCTAAAATTCATTTTAATTAAAAAAATAAATTGTTAGTGTAAAAATTTCTATTTTTAACATATGGGATGTTAAATTTTTGGTAAAATTTTTATTTTTGGTATTAAAAATCCAATCTTTGACATTCGGGATGTCAGATCTATGAAAAAGACTCATAATCTTTATGAATTAGTGGGCTATTTTTTTTAATAAATCAAGGATTTATCAATTCTTGATGAATCAAGGATTTATCAAAATAACTATTCCCCCCTCAAATCTTTTTTAAATAAATTTTTTTTCTAGATTAAAAAAATAAAACCCAAACCCTAGCCACCGCTGACCCTGGTGGGTTGCCCGGGGGGTGGTCTAAGGAACTCCCAACGTCAGCCGTCGGGGGTCGTCACCTTTTTAGTGTTGCGCATGGCATCAGACGCCATGGCCACATAGAGGTCCGGCGATGTGGGATCTGTGCGTAGGGCATGGGCAACAGCAGCGACATCGGTGCTCCCAAGCACTACCGGCCTAGAGGTGAAGCAGG